CGTATAATGTAGAGGCTGTCCAGTGTCGACGATGAGTGACGAAACCCTCGAATATGCCCAACAATAAACTAGTTCTTAGCATATATGTATATATGTCTCTGGTACATAATTCTTTTGTATAACTAAGTGTGCGAGTGTTTGCGTATACTTATATAGATAGTATATACATATACATATATATATATATAAGTGTGTGTGTGTGTGTGTGTACGCAAAATAAAGAAGAAAAAACCGCTTTGGTGGGGCAAAACTATGTACGTATATACTAACGCCGCTTACGCAATAATATATTGTTGCCGTAAATATATTTGACAACGCGTTTTTAATGCCCCAAGTTCCCATAGCTTTATCTTAAAACCACCGCTTGGTATTACATATTATATAATAATGTATACTTATAATATTATACGTAATATATTAGGAACGTTTATATGAGCATGCACGTGTGCCCATTATAATACCGGTCAGCGGCCACTGACGAGGGGCTCAGAGAAATGTACCTTCGAGCGGGACGTGAACGCTCGTCTCAGTACATTCACTTGGGGTAGTTCCTATATTTTTATATTTTCAATTAATGTACAAACATTTCGAAAATACAGGTTTATTCACCGAGCATCCTCACCCCCATTTCATCATTTAGTTATATATCATGTAGTTACAATTTATTCAAATTGTGATTTTTCGAATTTTCAAGAGTTGGTAAATTTTTTTCCAAATCGTAAAATATATTTCTACACATTTTTAAGGGGCCATTAATATTATCATTATTTTTTTTTAACTAGAACAATACCTAACTACAATGATAAGTTTAGAGAAGTTTAATATTATGAGGGCTTTAGTTAAACTATAGTCATCAATCTTTATGTATAATGTCTGCCTTTAATGTAATCCATTAGCATTTTATAACTTGTTCACATTTTAATATGTCCTAAACCTATTATACTTACAGTATAAATAAAGTTTAATAACTCTGCAACAACACGTTCTAGTTTCAATGTAGGTATCGACAACAAAAATATTCAAAATAAAAAATATCTGCTTAGCAATATTTTCAGTGATAAGTTTTTATTGGAAAAAAAAAATATTATCGCCACTCTGAACGTTACAAATTGAACTTAAGACTCCTTAAATGTGCGGGATAATCGATCTCAAGTAGACATATATTAACAACTTTAAATAATTCTTGACGCGTTATTACGTTCATTGGTGGCTTTGACAAAAAGTAAGTACAAAATAATCAGCTTACTTATTTTGAGTGAACGCGAGAAACGTAGTGGTGGTGACTTGAACGAGTAGCGCGTAGGGGAGTACTAGGCTGTTTATTTTACACACCACAGTCTCACACACTAACGATTTCTTACTACTCACACGTTTACACACTTACAATACCTGTACTCGAGCACTTAGAAAATTACCAATATTGAACTCCGAAATAACTGCTCTTTTCCCCTTAAGAGGACTCCATATGCCAATGCATGGTGCTGTCTCCGTCTTACAAATATATAACATATCACATTTGAGTTTAACAGAACCAATTTTGTGCTGTTAGCTTAAAATGTTTGGGCGAATTGGGCTATTGTCAAACTAAAAAGGTAAAAACACTATCGGTGCATAAGCTTTGGCTTTTTTTCGAAGTTTTATTTTTAATTAAGATAAATGCGAGTATTGTAATATGTGAAATATCTCTAATTAAAAATGCTCATATTAAACAGATAATGTTCTCAACTTTAAATTTTATAATGGGTAAATTTAAACTGGTATACATCAAAGCTCTCAAAAAAATTGGTGAACTCTAATAGTATAATATGTTTTATGATGAAGACAACAAATGAAAGGGTAGTTTCCTCTGGTTAAAGGATACAATAGGAGGGCATGTAAATTCACCATATATATATATATATAAACATAGAATCTGCGAGTGTAAAATAATATGCGTTTTCTTTCTTGTCTAGAGGCGTCGTCCTCAAACGACCGGTTTTTTCACACCACGTCTGATGGGTGATAACGGCGAGTATGGCAACATTTCATGAATCGCACAACGATTTAAATAATAGTTTTTTTTTCCACTTCCGTTTATTTTCACTCTTGTATAAATGAGTGTGTATGTGTGTGTGGATACAAATTTGGAGTATATGTACCAATGTACCTACTTACGAGTAAACGTGTGAGCAGTTATTATGATAGTAGTTGAACTATATTATTAAAGCAGGTATTAACAGCGGTGAAAAAATAGCACATTAATTCTAAGGTGTAATTTAATTAAACGCAAGTGCACGCCGGAGTGACCGTAATAATTATAATAATAAATTGTACGCCGTCACCGCCGCTGTTTGTAATAATATTATGTTTATAAATTATAATACTATAAATGTATTATGCCTATCAAATACTAAACTCCATATTTTATAATTAAAAAAAAAATTTTAATTAAAAATTAAACGAATTTTTTCTGCAATATTTTGTTTGAATTGGCAGTACCTACATTATTATGCGTTATGCTTATTTTTAAAATTCGGGGGCGTGTTTCTGGAAATCACGACGATAATCGATATAATAATCGCCACAGTCGTTCTATTGTGTGTACCAGACGTCCTATTTACCTATATTAAATTATAACATCATATTATGGAAACGTCTGAAAACGTTACAAAAGATATTGTTTCAGTATCAAATAAGTGGACTTGTATATTATCAATCAAGTATAAATATTATAAGCGTACAATATGATTCAAATGAAATGGATGAAAACGTTTATCTGCAGGCTTGTGCATATAGACAGATATTGTATGCATAAAAATGCGAATAATCATCAATCATTATGATATTGCCAATAATTAATATTATAATTGAATGTAGCGAAAAGTCAAAATAAAATAAATATAACGTAATGATGCACGTCATTGGATTCAGAGTTCAGGTTGTACAAAGTTTTAAAAGTTATTTTTACGCTAGAGTAACTCGATTACAGACCTACATAGATTATATTAACAAAATAATGTATAGTAACCAATTAACTATACATACCGAAGAGCCCACGGCTCGCACTATCATATTATTATCAGAGTAAATTATAAAACCTTTTACACGAATTAATTTAATTAGAAACTCTGCAGAGGTGAATTATTAGTTGCACAATATGCATACCATAAAATATGTCTACGATCATTACTATTACATATACCTAGGTATTTATAAGTTACATCAAAACTTTAAAGATAATCGAAATAATATTGTAATATACATATTTTGCCGTAAACGTGACGTGCGATGATGGGCTCGTGATTTTTTTCCCTCAATCATTGACAACCAATTTACCCACCTATAACGTCGTAAACATATCATTACATCTATATCAATTAGGCATAGGTTATAGGTACCTATAATCATTGAATTTAAAAGATGGTTTTTTTAAAAATAATTAATAACTATAAGACGTCAAAGCATAATGCGCTTTGTGGAACGAAACACTTAATGTGTATCGTATTAATCGAATATGTTTTCGAATATTTATATTATTATTAGTTCACATACAATCGACAATCGTAATACACGCGCGCACACACACACACACACACACACACACACACACACACACACACACACACACACACACACACACAATATACAATATATAATATATATATATATATATTATTCTAAACATTCCGCAAACAATTAACATAATTTATTACGAAAGATTAATATTCTAATTTTGTACGAGCTGTTGAACGCTGTACACGCGTAATGTAGCCAATATTTTGAGTTAAAAAAAAATTGAAATGCCTCGAGCTCTCAGTTGTACCTACACGGTTAGGTTAGTGACCTGAGAATGCAAATCAATATTTTTCAATTAACTATACTTATATATATATATATATATTATATACTTACCCATGTCATATAGCCTTTCGGACAGGATTATTCTAAGTCAAAATTTGGCAAATACAATAATATTCTTGTGACATTGTAATAGACGTACATAATATATTATAGTCACGGGAGAGTTAAGAGAGACTTTTCAATTTATTTTTTAATGCGTATATTTTTATGCATGCCACAAACTCCGTCAAGAATTCAGACCAACCCCTATTTAAAAAACGGGCCATATGCGCCCATATCACAAATATGTATTGGATTTTAAATACTCAATGGTTTACGTGGTCCAAATGACTCCACTGAATATAACGTCGTATTTACAGGTTGTTTCACGATGTTCAGATACAATAAAAAAATATATAATTTCAACTGTTAAATTTTGTCAGATCTTCCTGATACACTTTGTGAATTTATTAACCAAAGGGTATTGAAATGATTCGTAAAGTAGTTCAATTGAAAATATAAATTATGTGTTTAAACTTTGACTATTTTGACATCATATTATAATACCCAAAAATATGACATTTCTCATTCCTGCTAACCAATATCAGTTTTAAACAATGTTTAAGTGTACTATACATTATTTATACATACTTTAACAGAATTGAATCTATTCGTTTCAATACCTTTCGATTATAAATGGTTGGATGTGGAGGGGGGAGCACATTTTCTCATAAAGAAAAGCTGGCATGCAGAAGCTTTTAAGTTGAATCAAAATAATTTCTTCCTTTAAACATAACCAATTAAATTAAAAATGTGATTCTACGTATACAGGATACTAAGTTCAATTTATTTTGTCATCTCGCTGTCCCGCATTATGTTTGAAATAAAATTAATTGGACAATAATAATCAGTAAAAGTAATGATATTAATCTAAAGTCATAAATACTTGAAATAATAAACGTATTTTATTTATTTGTGGATTTAATTATGTGGTCGACATACTTACCAAAAAAAACTACTTAAATTTGAACTGAATGTGTCTTCATATTACATTAAAAATCTTGTTGAATAATATTAAAAATATTATTTCTATTAAACGTGATTACAATCAACTTAACAATATAATTACATACATTATGAGTACAATAATATTTATATTCACGTACGTTGTATAATTTAACAATAGGTATAACATTATTTTATTGTTTATATTAAAACTAAATACAAATCGCGTCTTAGTAGAAAAGTCGACCGCACGTGCGAGTTGGCGCGGCGTTCTATTATCTTGACTGTCGACATTAAGCAATAAGCTTACAAGCTATAGGTCCGGATTAATCGTGTCGGAATCTGCGAGGAAGAAAAAAAACGTAATAATAATAAACAAATAATAGTAATAATAATAAACGAGAAAAACGGCGTACGACGGACATAAATATTATAATAGTTGTAGGTACCCAATAATAATATAATATTATTCTAGTTCCACGTTATAGTCGTCATAACTAGTTTTGGACGAGATTAGTTTTTTCCCCCTTGGCCATCCGCCCAATACGTTCACACGTATTACAAATGCTGTGTAGTATTTAATAGTAATAGTAATAATAATAATATTATGTAATCGTCGTGTGGAGCCTAAATCGCCGCCGCTGATTTTCAGATTTCGTACTGAAGTGGACGATACGAAGACTTTTTTTTGGTCTTCTAAGCTGACGTTCAACTGCAAGCTACACCTGTACTCCATGTAGAGTTACTTATTTTTCATAAAAAAAAAAATGATTTCATATAAAAAATACGCTGTTTTTGCAGCTCGAGGTAAGTAGAATTGTAAGACTGTGTTCAAAAAATAGTGTTTTATGTCATGCCTAAAAATATTGATGTAAGTACCTTTAGTAGTAGTAAAAAAATGTCGAGTATTTGAAAATATTGTCTTCAAAGTATATAATATATCTTTCAAAATTCCAAAAATCAGAACTCGCGTATTCACGCTCACGAAAAATGGTGGTGTGCATGCTTGGTGAACCACCCCGTATGGAATTTAACATATTATAGAGCTTAATACATTTATGCTGTACGCAGACCGTAAGTCTTAACGCAATTTTCAGTTTCGTATCGTTGAGCTTTGCTCTCGAGGTGACGGAAATATTTTTGTCATAATAATTATGTTATTACAGCACGATAATAGACTAAGGGCAAGGTCACCGGGAACATTAACCTTATACCAAGACCTCGTGTAATGTAGTAACGGTATTACATATAGACATGATATACATCCCAAAGGCCATAACTGACGATATGGATAATAATATTATATAATAAAGGACGCCGACATATTATAGTAAACACTACGCGTGTTACATAATAATATTATAATAATAATGTCATTATTATGCCGAATTAATAAAATGTTCAACAGGGTGTGTGTACAATAATATATTTTTTATTATACGACTTATTTTCTTTCCGGGTACACATAAAATGGCTTGGATGTCGCTGATGGGTGATGGGTGTACCAACTGTACCAGCTACATACGGGTTATATTATATTATTATTATGTAATCGCGAAAAATAAAGCATCGTTTTACGGTTTCGTGTACAACTCGGTCGGAAAAAAACTAATACGTTCGAACACACGTCATTTGTTCCGTTCATAAAAAAGTACGACGGTGGTTTACTGCAACGTGTATATTAAATGTTGTTATTGCCTATTATGATTGTAAAACGAATTGAGGTGCCTCCATTAAAAATGTTCGTATAATAACACCTACCGCCGCTGCTCACGGGGGAATGAATGGACCGGGTGACTTATTCATCGTCGGCCCGTCGTCGTATGAGGGCCATTCATCTCATAAATGATAATTACGATATTATTATGATTTAGCAATGAAAGAGGACAACGAAACCTGTTAAAACGTTTATAATATGCGATGCATAATTATTATTATTATAATGATTAATGAATAATAAATTAGCGTTTTGATACGTCGGACCGTGCGGAGAACCTTTTTATACGTCGTGTCCGGTCTGTCATGATATCGTGTATCATAATATTATACCGCTGTATATGATACGGGACAGGCGGTTTTGGGCGGAAAAATAGATACTTGTTGACAAAATACGAATACAGCGAGCATAACGAGCGAATTCACACGATCTACAGAGTGATTAAAAAATATACCCACCCCCTTTTTATTTTCAAAAGGGCTGCAGTTATTTAAAATCTGATTTTAGGAATTTTGAATACCTACACTATAGAATACCATAAATCAAAATATTATTTTCAAATTATATAGAATTTTTTGTCCTACTCGAAGAGCTTCCTTGAGAAAAACCAATTTCTGATTTTCAAATAAGAAAACTCCTTTTATACTGAACATTTTTTATCCGATAATTTTTCTGAAAATGTTGAAGTAACAAAACTTAAATTCTACCTAATAGTGTCCGAGTCATTTAACTACGGGTACCAATGATATAATATGAGATCCATTATCAAGAGTTTGAAAGACGCGGGTGCTATGGTGGGTTGAAAATTATTTTAGTAATTAATATTATTCTATAAACACATTTATAGTTTCTAAAAATGGTCCAAATGTAGCTAAGTATTTAAATTAATACTAATCCGATATTTCATATATTATATTTTATAATTTTTTTTAAATCATTGTTACGGATTATTCTTATAAGTATAAAGTTTTTAATAAATGAAGAACAAATCGTTCAAATTTAGACTTTAGCAGACACTTCAACATTTTCACGCAGAACACTTCTTAATAGTAGATAGTATAAATAATTTCAGAGATTTAAAAATACTGTAATAAAATATACTTAAAATCCGAAAAAAATCAAAATTTCAATAAATTCATTAAAAGGAAAAATAAGGATGAGCATAATTTATAAATTATCAGGTTTATAATGATTTTTTATACTTAAACGATTTTTGTTTGTGTACTTATTACTTAATAGAAAATACACTTGCAAAAATTTGCATGATGCTTAAAAATATTATTATTTTCGATGAGTAGATACTTTCTGTACCTCTGGATACAAACTATGAGATACCTACTGACACTTCATATTATACATTTTTTCAATGTTAATTTTAATAGTTACCTATGCAGACAAAAATAAAAGGATACAGTTGTATGCGCCAACTAGTTAAGTGCACACACACACACACACACACACACACACACAAATTAAATTACTGTAGTAAGCGTAACATATCTTTGGAAAGGTGCGCAAAATAAAATAATTCACACTATTTGAATATTCTTATATATTTTAAAACAAACACACGAAATTATGGGTTTCAAAGAAACATTACAGTCATAAGTATAGTAGACCCAAAAACTAGCACTGCCCCGATACGTTGGTGCTTACGTTTTTAAATATAATTTTTACAAAGTGCAGAGTCAGCTCATTCGCTTCATTGGCCTATTATTATGAAAGCGATCCTATCTTTGTTTTTATAATGTGTGTGTGTGTGTGTGTGTGTGTGTGTATGGCAACTAAACTGGTTGGCGCATACAACAAAAGAAAAAAGTTTATCTAAGGTATATTATACGTGATTTACATACAAATATCCAAGACACTGTTCAATGTTCATCCCTACGTTCTGTAAGTTATTAATGTATAACTGTATAAGCTCACTTTTCTGCTAATGCAATGCATACACATACACCACATAAACACTGCTGCAGGGTTGTCGACCAAGTACTATAAACATTTACCTTAATTCCATCATATTGTTATTTACTGAATTTTTTTTTTTTTTTATATGTGTGATCTGTGATATTGGGAAATACATTCGAAATTGTTTAGTTTGTATAATTTATTACAAACGGATCATGGCTTCACTGTTCGAAATAACTCATGATAAATCACGATAGTTATAATAGCGCCACAAAAAAAATATAGGTTAGCGACTAAAATCGAACTCAAAATAAAGCTTAGAGCTATTTTCAAAGTGTATGGAATAACATTTGAACAATAATAATAATTGTTGCAAATCATAATAACCGTTTGTGCTAATATATATTATTTTTGATTTTGATTGATAATAGGAGGCGTTTTTATAGTATTTGATCAGTGATAATCCTTATTCACTAACAGAAATAACATTGTTATCTGCGTAAGAATAGAGACACTCATTCGCGGGTGTGAAATACTAGATTCATACAGGAAAAAAAAAATAAAAAAATATAAACTGTTCACACCGTGATGGCTAGTCATTACAAAGAACTTTTAAACCGCGGGCTGTGGAGCTCTTGTGCCCAGACTTTAAGCGTTTCGCAATCGTGCGTGTATAATACATTACTATAGTAATAATAATAATAATAATAATAATAATAATAATATTATAATAAAGCGTGCGTCATAACGATCTATACGTATATACAATGCGTATAGTCGGGGTAGCCTACCCCGAGAGTGTCTCTCTCCCCCCCCCTCCCCCCGGACCGGTGTTTTAGCATTCTACTGCGGGAAGGGGGCTAACGTGGTTTGGGGGTGAGCGAGTGAGAAGACTATATAATATTATAGTGGAGTCTCCGTAGACGGTTGGCTTCGCACAAAGAAAACCCCCGGCCAAAGATTCGGGGCTGTGTGCGGGAAGGGGGGTGTCGCGGTCGGCGCTCTAAAGCGGGGACATGGAGGGGCGGCGGCGAGGGACCGAAAATGAGGAGGAGGGTTGTTCTTCGAAATCTGGGCCAACAATACAACACAATATTATATGTATATAAAACAGTATAATACCGTACCCTACACATATATAATAATATATACAGCGGGGTTCTCGTGCGCGGCGGCGGCGGCGGCCCTCTCACCTGGCGCACACCACTCTTATAATATACATTATTATATTATATATTCGCCAAGACCATCTGCTTTTTTCCGTACATTTTTTTTTCCACATTTATTTATTCATTTCACTGGGCCGCGGTGGCGTCGGTCTTGTGCCCGGTGTCTTGGCAATTTCTCTTTTACGACGACGACGACGACGACGGCGGCGGCGCTGACGGCGGCGGAGGGTCGCGCGAGGCAGCCACGTACGTCGCACTACGTACGTATTAGGTATTATACTATAACCTGCCCGCAATATGCATCTGCCTAATATTGTTGTTATATATTATTATTATTATTATTATTATTATTATTATTACGTGTGATACGAGGTAGAGATTTAAGACGGGCGCGAGCCACGGAACCGTAAAAACGTCAAATAAATCCGCGACTCGTACAGCCGAGCACGAGCACGCCGCCGCTGCAGCGGTCCCTCGTCGTAAAAAGCGTCCCCCGTTGCGATTGTCTTGACGACGGAAATCTTGTGTCGCGCCTCCCGACGACGGAT